ACAATGCAGATCCTCTTTTTTTTGCTTTTTCACGGTTTTGGCGTATCCGCGTTGATATTGATTGACACATTCTATTCGCGTGAAACTTGATGAACTCTGTCGGGCACATTCGATGCGCCGTATCTACGCACGCAAATCACGCACACGACACACCCTCTTCTTCATTTAATCCGCCTCTACCTCGAGCGAGTTCATTCCGGCTGAAACGTTCCGATGGGATTACACCATGGATACGCCACGGTTGACCCCGTTTTCAGCCCACGAGCGCATACTCGTTGACTGCAGGTACCGGAAGTTATCGTACCCCCATGGTACTTGCCGTCATTGAGGATGCACTCGGCGATTGTCGATTGATGGAACATTAGTCCCTTTGGTTATCTAGCACGAGCCGTTGGGTAGAATAGTGATATAACTTAATAACAGTGAATCATAAATTTTAGGGAACATAACATCTATCTTTATGTTTTGTAAGTTAATATCTCTATACCATATAACCATATTATACTTTTTTTAAAATATCCGATTATCCTCTTGAAATTTTGAACTAAAAAAATCGAGGAATATCGACGAAAAGATAAACAAATTATAATCATTATTTTCAATTTGTCATGCCCGATGGCTCATATACGTCGCAAATGACTATTGGTAATTCCCTCAGTAATTATGGGCAGCAAGGGCACTTTCGCGCAATTTTCCAACCAGAGTAATTATCTTACGTACACACATTCTCTCTCTCTCTCTCTCTCTCTCTCTCTCTCTCTCTCTCTCTCTCTCGCTCTGAAGCGCATTCGTTCGCGACATGCTTTTATCGCGAATCGAGCGGGCGCTAGATCGCGATTAATCATTATTACTATTACTATTACGATTGCAATCCATAATTAGTAAATGGAGAGCGCATGATTACACGTTCAACATCATAATCGGAAAAGCTTTTCGCGTTCCGTTCCCCAATCGTATTTATTTTCATCGCGAGATAGTTCTACTAATGCTGTCAATACGGACCGAGTAGTTTCTACATCCGGATAAGTCGAACTCGATCGCGAAATTAGAATTCAAAATAAAAGTTCGCGAAAAAACTTCATCTCGAATCGCTAGTATCACGAATCTTAATTCCAAATTGACAACTTGATCGTTAAACTGATTAAACTCGTTAAATTAAAATCAGCAATTTTGAAACTAACGAAAAAATAGATCTAAAAAAACTCCGAATCACAAACTAAATAATTAGTAAACACATAATGTTGTCTTATAAACGGCTAAAAAAAAAAATAAAAACTATTAATGTCTCGTTCTCCACTCGAGATGCACTATGGACAGATAGATAATCGGTGATATAATTATCATATTGCACACGCACACGCATACACACGCACACGCACACATACGTATGTTCTACGAATTAAGCTGCCTTTGCGTGTTGCAGATTGCGCGAGGGTGCAACAGCAAAAAGCCTGGCCGGAACTTGTACGTTTATCCTTGCGAGCGAACTAGCGGCTGCGACTACATGTTCATTCGGACCTTCGTATCGCTCATTCGCTATAGACTTGACTTTTCGTTTGTGTGCCGCTTGTGTATACAATCGAACTCGTGCGATTGATTCAGTTTGAGGAACAATCCGACGAGATCAGGCTCTGCGTCGGAATATATCGTTTTCTGGAATGACAATGTGAGTTTCATCAACGTCTGAGGGTAATTCAATCGCATACGCGAGCACGAGCGTTCCTTGTGTGATAACGTACCCCAAGTTGTGGCCATAGCTTTCATAAAGAAGAAAGGTGAAACGATCTTTCAAAGATAGACGGGTGAGAGAAATATAAAAATTATTAAATTAAAATAATAACATTTAACAATAAAAATAAACAAAGTGCCGAAGTAATAAAATACAACGCACCAACGAAACACACTCTAGTCCGGGGATAGAAATAAAAACACAATTGTAAACGTTCCGTTACCTGATCATTTTATTGTTCTTAACAGACGTCGATGAAATTCGCACAGGACTAATTTGCGTTCACTTACTTAGATTCAGTCTTCACAGACCACTGCGTTTGCCGTATTAATTCGTGACTACATTAATACAAAATATATTTTATTATAATTTATGTAGATAATTAATAATAATAATATTTATAGCTTCTTTTACGCTGGTGGCCACGAAGAACCCGGCGTCTGTCTCGTTTTCCGTTCGGTTTTTCGGATTATAAGGTGAAAGAGGAGGAAGCAGGATACCGCGGTGTCGACCTGAAGAATCAAGATTGATTAACCGCTATCAAAGTTGATTTTCAAACAGCCGATGAGCCACGGATAGACGGAATAGTAAGGACAGGAAAACTCGGGAGGAGACGCGGGATTTTGGCCTAAATAGACATATTTACACGAAAGGCCGAAAGGACAATTTCTTTTTTTTGCGCGCGATAAGCGTATTCCGAGAGGTAATTTCGTTGATTTCGACTTTAACTTAAATTTCGTAAGAAGTAGAGAACTTTACGCAAACGGGTCGGGGATGAACGCCGCGTTTGTGGACCACCCTTCCTACAGAAGATTGTTTTTTCATACCCATTCACGAAGAATTTGTTATCCTAATATTTAGTTCTATAAAGCGCTACTATTCTAAAATTTAATGCAATTTGTGTCCATGTGTTTCGTTTATGTGTATGTGTATGTGTGAGTATGTTTTTTTGTGTTGTCCGTTGTGTACATGTTATTTATCTGTGTAAGATCTGCACTTCTTCGAATTAAAAAATTACCACTTCAAGACATGACGCGTAGGCGCTACGTTCGACGTTAAATAAATATATAATCAATGAAAAAATATATCATTAAAAAGTAGGTACAAATAGGGGGCAGGGGATTTGGTATTGTTCCTTCGACGAATCATAATACATTGCGTAAATAAATTTCTCTCCTGTGTCCATACCCTGCACACTCCACCATCTCCCGTCAATCCGTCTTCGTCTTCGTCTTCTATGACTTTCGCATTATTATTCGAAAAACATTACGTTAAAAACTTCCATATTATAAATCTAGAATGCACGACAACGTTCGCACCCGGTGATGCTGCACCCACGAACTTCGCACTATCGATTCTTTCCAATCGATAGTATATAATATATATTCCGAATATAAAATTAAATTGTACAATTTAGAACATGCATATACATATTATGTATATATATCTGTTTTGTATTTAAATATACTTCTTTCTTTTTGTTTTACCACCTGACCAACTTCGTCCTCAACTTCTTCCTTATTCGTCTCCTCGCACATGAACATACATTTCTTCTACCGAAACCTTTCTCACTCATTCTCTTTCGTTCTCTTATTTCAATGTTACGCGTTCCTAGCGCAGTTTTATAATAATTATAATTGAACCTCACATCTCCGAATTCGTATTAACCAACAAATGCCTCACGTAACTGAAACATCTGTAAAATATGAGATCATATCTGCCAAGGGACACGCTTTCACATTTTTCGGCGCGCGTTACAATACCACGAGAATCCGCGAGCGTGTTCCTCGGCCCCCGACGTAGGCGCGCATCGAGGATCCTTATACTAATTAATTGTATTTCTTAGATTCATTCATATAATGGGCTCTTCGTCCCGCAGCGAAAATTCGCGTTTCCGAGCCGCAATAAAAATTTTGCGAAAAACAAAATGCGAGACACTTATACGAGAAACCTATATTCTATTTCCGTTGCCCCTGTCCCATCGAAAAGACCGTCTCGCTTAATTTTGAACATCTTGGACTCGGAAATAATCATGAACCTCGATATTTATCGTTTCCAAGTGATTCTTGAAACAGTCTTACAACTAATGAACGGAACACGCGGACGCTTCGTGCACTCTCTCCTCTCTCTTGATTTGGTCGATTCTCTCATCATTTGAACCCGTCGTCGTTGTCGTCAGGCGACAAAGTCATATGGTAGCTAATCGCGCGATTGACTCTGTCGCGCATTCTCTTCGGAGAAACGACTAAACAGAAGAGATGTTCGGTATGCGCGACGCGCGCAGAAAGGAAAACGAGGAAGTAAAAAGGATAAGAGAGGAAGGGGGGACCACGCGACAATTTCTTTCTTTCTTTTCCATATATACACACATTTATACAGACACACACGCACAAAACACACACACACACATCCAAGCAGAAAAGCTAAATTCTGTGTTTGTATTTGTCTTGTATTACTGACTCATGCGATACAGTTATACAACTATATCGTACTTTATGACAGGCTTCTGTCTAGTTCTTTCTTTCTTCTCAGTCTCTCTCGCAAGCATACTATGATACAACACGCATCATCCACATATACGCGCGCACAATTGCGCTTTTCCTTTCTTCTCAAGAAATAACTTCGCGAATGGCGATGTCGCCACGCGCGGTTAATCTTCTAGTCGTACGCGCCATGCTTGCACGAACGTGAAAATATAGAAAATGGAAAGAAAAGAAGAAAAAAGAAGAAACAAATACGCGATGCCTCTTTGATCGTCTAGACACGTTTGTTTGATCGCTGAGACTCTTAGGTGAGAGGTGAGAGGAAAATAAAGGGAAAGGAGGAAGGTATTCGGAAAGGTCTAGACGATAAGACGAATCCTTATACGACGACTAACACAGTATGATTAAAAACATCGAAGAGGTTTCGTTTCCGCGTGAGGATCGCTGTCGGCGGATACCGATGCCGCGTTACTATGGACATTACTCGCGTGAGTAGAACAACAGAACAAACGTGAAGAATTGAAACGAAGAATTTCTCGTACGACAGCGATCCTGCGGTTCCTTTCCGTGGCTATCGTATCTTTCCTCATTATTGCGTGCCTCGCGCCCAAAAATTGGTCGTTCTGTTGCACGGGTCAGCCGACCCAGTGACGTCACACACACATGCTTCGTTATTAGAACGAGTTGCGATCCGAGGATAACTCAACGATGGATGATGCTCAAGCCGTGCCGCTTGTCCTCTTGCGCGTTCATCGTTCTCTCTCTCTCTCTCTCTCTCTCTCCCCCCCTCTCTCTCTCTCTCTCATTAACGAAACAGCCATACATCTTTGCGTCTGCTTAAACATCATCCTGTTACTTTTGCTACTGCCGTTACTGATCGCGCTACAAATCCCACTTGTTGTAACTGCAAAAACACAGGTTCCAGCAACCCGATCGTGTCGTGTGGACATCGCTACGATTCCCGTTGCCGCCGCCGTTGCTATTGTTGTTCCCCAAACGATTGTTGTTACTGTTGCTACGATGTACCATCACAATGTTGTCGGTGATGGTGGCGGGGTCGAGGGGCCCGTTGGTGGTGGCGCAAACGGTAAGTAGGCGATCATCGTCGACAACACCAGCGGGTCGCCGACTGTCCTATACTCAAATGCTGCTCGGATTACCGCTTGGCTCAGCGGCCTTGTCGATGCTGTTGATCCGCTGGCTACTGCTCTCGGGCGGCGACGGCGATGCCCCGCCATCCTCCGGTTTGTGCAGCGGCGGTTTTACCCCGTTCTGCACGTAGTGAGTGAGCCGGGTAGGCAACGAGCCTGCGTTCAGCTGATAGAACTCAACCAGTTGCAGCAGGTCGTAGAACTTGGTCGTTCCCTTATCGAGAGTATACAGCCAGCAGTTGCGACGCTCATCAAAAATCTGAAAAAAATAATTTGGATAAGAAAACATTCTGTGTATATAGTATCGAATACATACCCGCAGCGTTTAATGCAAAACATTTGAGATATCACGAAGTGCGAAAGACCGTAGATCGGATAGATTAATTTAATGTGAAGAAACGCACATACTTTTTCATACGACAAAAATAAAGAATAATTAAGAGATTAAAACTAACTAAAAAAATTCCATTATCGAATCTCTATAAAATCAATTTACTGTGAGTTTAGGTAATACTGATACATGGCTGATATTAAAATAAAAACAGAATTTTTAATATCGATTTATCCAATGAAATTAATTCAGACGGTAAAAGATTAAAATCCTTTTTTTCTTTTTAAGAACTTGTGTTAGCAATTCGTTCGCGACGACTTTAGCTTTAAAGTAAACGACCGGAGAAACTTTTTCGCATTTAATCGCCACGAAGTTAACTCGCCCGCAAAAAAGATCCTCGACTTGTCGCTAATTATCGATCAGACGCGAATACTTACGGGTTGGATTTGCGCGTGAAAGACCTTGTCGTTGTACTTATAGGTCAGCACGAAGGCCCCAGGATTACTCTTACTCTCTCTGACCAGAAACACACTGAAAGTACATAAAACAGAATATTTGAAAATTCCGAAAGAGGCAACAAATATATAGTTGTTATCAAGTTTAAACTTGAGTCAATTTTTTATTTACACATTTGTCATTAAATTTATTTCCCAATTATTGTAGATTTAAGTTAATTAAAAATTTACAATAACAATTCGACGCGATTTAAATAATCGATGCCAATTGTACAATAACGGCGGATGAAGATACATTTATAAAAAATTTACAATGTGTGTTTGGCGGACACGTATTATCTCTCACTGTAACTTTCAAGTTTTTCTAGGAATATTCAAGTGATATGTATACCAAGGATTGGATAAGAGAAAGGATTAAGAGAACTACTAAGACAGAGAGACTATATCTGAATACAGGACTAGTTGGGAGATTCAGGAGAGATAGGCTGTGCTTTTTGCAGCATGCAGAGAAACCAGCGTGCTGCACCGGGTGCTAGATGTTTGATATCGGGGAAGACGGCGAAGCTACGACTCGTCCAGGCGTATCACAGTATAAATTAGTATGGTCGTAAAAGGCAGCAGGACGAGTAGAGTGGTTTAAAAAAACGGCAGAGGTGAGGAGCGAAGATGGAGGTCAGGGGGATGCAACGATGAGGACAAGACCGACCGGTCGGTCACGAGGCAGATCGGCTGCAGCGAGAAAGAAGGAGAGAGACTCGCGTCGTAAAACGATCGCAACGCGGCCACGCGATCGTAAAACTCCAAGTGGAAGAAGCGGTTCTCGCTTCCTTCCTGGCACTCTCGCATTGAGAAATCCCGTTGCCGCTGTCGCCGAAGAAGAGAGACTTGCGGTCCCTTTCGCGATAAAATATCATCAAGCACATGCTCACTGCTCTCTTCAATAAATATTTTATACAAGGTCGTTAACAAATATTATGCAGCAAAATGGTGATACGTTCACAGGAAATTCATTGTCATGTACGTAATTTTGCACGAAGTGAGATCGTTATTTCATAAATAAAAAGATTCCTTATTGCTTAGAAGCTAATTTTAATACATAATTGCAAAAATTTGTGTTAAATTTAACATACTTTACGTGTCCCAAAGGATTCACACAAATTTTTGTGTTAATTTAATACAAAGTGAATATGGTAGAAAAAGTAACATAAATATTATGTAATTAACACAAAAATATAACACTTATAAAATTAGTAAACAAATTGTGAAACATATTTCTTAAGTAATTGACATTTATAATATGTTAAATTAACCTTCATATTTTATTCATTTAAATTCTTAGAATTTACGTTTAAAAATTTACGTTATTTTTATGTTACTTATAAATTGTTATTTTAACACAAAAATGTTGAATATCAATTTAACAAAATATCCAAATATACTAAAAATCACATTATGTTAACACACTCGGATATATTAAAAATTTATCATAAGAATTTTAATAAGGACTGGTTTTAACAAAACACGAAATATTTTGTACTATGTAATTAATTTGTAAGAATTCTGAAGTCCTTACATAAAATAAAAAATATCCGTGCACCTATTTTATAGCAAGAAACTTCCTTTTCTGTAATCGTTTCCTTTGATATAATCTTGAATCTTATCCGTCAGATTTATCTCATTAGTATATTTCCTTGAGATGATGATATTACATTGTTATTTGCCGTAAGGATGAATTCTTGAACTTAAAAAATCTGAGAATCGTAATGCGAGATCACATTTGCGTGACCTATTTTTTAGTATCTTGCCCGGAGATTATTCATGTGTAGTGACGATGTGTAGTGAACGTTTGCTAATGTCGAGTATCGTCTCTCATCAACCCCGATGCTCGGCCAATGGAATATTCATGCGAGTGAATATTCCACGTCCGCCAGGCAAGCAGATAACACACCGGCGGTGGTGACTCGTAGCTCCGGCTATGGAACGGTAATGTCCAAGAACTATCCCGAGTTAGAGGATAACGACGTTACGATTCCCATATAGTAATACAAAGGAGCCCGATGTCCGTCGCTAGGATATGTCTTCTCTATCTCACGAGTTGCCTGAACTAACTCGCAACATCAAGAGAGACAAATGGCGATTAGTAGACAATGCCCAGGGCAGAATCGATTAGAAGGTTTTTTGCATCTAACGACGACGACGATCATGACACAAGACAACGGGAACTCACGATGAGCTCGCGAGTGCCAGGTAGGAAGAGACTAGGCGTTTCTCCCCTTCTCTTTTTTCGCTATTGTCAAGATGAAGAGAGAAAGGACGAGGAAGAGAATACGGCGGAGGCGGCGAGGCGGGTGTACGATCGAGATTATGCAAATTTATGCAAGGGCCCCCTGAACGAACGTAAAACCCAGAGACAACTACGTGATCCCCGAGCACTCAATTACCCGAGGCTAAGCGCGACGAGATAGATGGAGAGAGTCGTTAATTAACCATTTATCCGCGATTCCCGACGCTAATACGGCGAATAAAAGATGAGATCGAGGAGCAAGGAAGAGATAAGAGGAGAGGACGAACGACAAACTGGAATATCGGCAAAACGCTGCTGCTCGCTCAGGTCGTGACCGCCGGTGAGAGGAAGTTACCGACAGATGATCGACGTATTGGAGACGTGCGCTTGATCACTGAACAGAATGTATGCTCGTTAGGAAAACAATCAGAGACACATGAGAAAGAAACGTGATACGCAGGTCGTCAGAATCATTAGGGTGTGTCAACGTGAGTCATTTACTTGAGCTCGTAGAATTTTCGAAATTTTCCTTATCTCTCTCTCTTTTCTCTTCTCTATTTTCTGTATCATTATATTTTGAGACTATATTATCCTCATAATTTGGTAAAGAACATAACACATCTACCTACGTGATTCTGCTCCGTCAAATACGTAACACACTCCGGGGAGCAATGCCCCGTCTCAAGAGTGCCTATACGAATATAATGAAATCTGATTTAAGATATTAATAATTTCCTATCGTTTCAAGGGCGTGTCCACACGTGTAACGCTTGCTAAGATTACCGGGTCAATACGGGTTAAATGCGAGGGTCAATATGATATGCGATGACGGATTCGACCCAGGACAAAGTGGCGTAGTTGAAGGCGTTGAGAAGCAAAAAAAAAAAATAAAAAAGAAGGAAATGACAAGATGTGAAACGGAGAGAGATTTATTACGCTTTAGGAATGACGTACTTCTTTTCTCTCACATTTCTGTATGCGCATATAATTTATTCTTTGTACACATAACATTTTCTCTATTTTTAAGTAATAAAAAAATATTATTCCTATTATTCGAATGTGCTGGTGAAGTATTACCCCATGTAAGAAAACAGAATCGACGATCGAGTATCGCCATTAAAATTCAAATACGCGGATAGCCACGGGCGAATTAGCAAATAATAAGATACTAAAATAACAAAGAGAGACGAGAAGCAGAGGTGGGCGAAAGAAACAAAGTATGCCCGATAGGAATTCATCGTGATTTACAATCGCTCGTAATAATCGCAAGGATTACGCAAGCGCCAGCCAGGCGTGTCGCCCGCGCCAGCAGCTCCGAGGTCGTAATTCTCAACCGGTTTGAAACGGACCCTCTCCCGCCTGGATGATGACGGTTATCGTTCTTAGCATCGATGCGATCGAGATTTTCGGGCAGCATCATTACGATGACGGTACTGTTGTTGTAATCAGCAACAACGCGTTATCAATCGTGAGTGTGAAAACGATCAGGCGAGCGAAAAGCAACATAAAACTAGTACCTTCAAAAGTGCAACGAAATTATGATTGAAGATTCCAGTTAAAGTCTCCGTCAGATTAATTTCATTTTTAAATATTTAAATTTATATAAATCAATTTTCCTCAATAACTCAATATATATAATTATATATGGATATGAGCAGAGAATTTTTCAGACTTTGGATTACATATATAACTTTGAGTTATATCTTGACAACTTCCATAGGCTAGTACGAAGAATAAAACTTTGCGATCCATTTAATCCGCTTCGAAATTTAAATCGCGTTTTTCATAAAATTGACTTGAGAAGTTGATTAATCGACAAGATTGAACTTACCCGTCGACGCTGCCGTGATCCCTTATAATAGCTGCCGCGACATCCCTCTTGAGACCGCCGTGGAACCAAGGCTGAAGAACATGTATACCGGCATCGAGGCCATGCAGCCTCATCATGGCGCATCCCGGTGGTGTTCGCGAAAACGGTCGCCATCTCCGCCGCCAAACCATGCCTTCATTTTCGGCTATATCCTTGGCTTCCTTAGGATCTTCGACTATCCTGCCCACGCTACCGGTAAAATCCATCGCCACGCGTGATCGTATCGATTCCTGCAAGAAAAAAGAAAATTCGTTCGTAAATTCATCATGCATTATATAATACTTTTGACAGCTAAAGTTTAAACAAACAAATTCCATTTAAATAAGGCCTTTTATATGACTTAATATATAACTTAATATATAGCACTTGATATAAATATTTCATTCTCTACGAGTATTCTGAAAATTATTATTATATATTATCATCGATGTATTAGGAAAAATCTTTTATTTTTGAAGAAAAGAATCGCTGTACTTTCTAAAAAAATATAGGTGTGGATTTAATACAATGCAACGTCAGTATAATTCTCTCCATGTGTTGATGTTAATATTAATATTAACACTAACATGATGTAGATTAATTAAAGTATTAATACTATAAGTATTTAATACTATGGATTTAATACTTTAAATCCACATCATGGTGTTTATTTTAAATACCATCATGGTGTGAATTTAAAACCCATAGTATTTTAATCATGATAGTGTTGATATGAACACCAGGAGTTTTAAGCCATACCAAGTGATGCTAATATTAAGACCAACAAGATAAGAATTATATAGACACCGCATTGTATTAAATCCACACCTATTTTTTTAGAGTATGCAATTTTTTTAGAGGAGTTTATCATTACGTGAACACATACATAGATATGTTTCCGGTAAACGATGTGACGCACTGAAGTTTCAGCGTGCTCAATGATCCCAGGATAAATACGTCTATCTATATCCCAAGTATGAACGTGAGTTTGAACGTTTCGACGTTCATCTCTTGGCAAACGGAAGCCCGTCCTTTACGAGCGAGCACGATGAAGGGGGGCGAGCCGTTCCGGGCTGCCGCCGAACGCTTTTATTTGGGATTAGAAACGAGGGTGGTTTCCAGTCCGGTAAATAACTCGTTCTGCAAGCGAGAGAAAGAGGAAGGAGAGCGAATTTTCTTCCTGTTTTCATCTCTCCCTCTCTCAGTGATCCACGGCGAATAAACCGCGCCTCGCGAATCTCCCGTAAAATTATGGCCCGAATGCGATACAGCCGGTAACAATCGCAAACGATAACTCATCACTGCCTCTCCGGCAATAATTTTCTCCACGGACCCCTCTTTCCGCGATTCCACAATCGACGATAAAGAATCACCAATGCCGAAACGAACCTCGAGATCGCGCGAGACGATCGCAATAATATCGAGGTAGAACACCTATGAGATTGAAACAAGTTTACAATAATAGAGTGTAATTAAGATCCCACAGATGAAGATATCCACAATTTTTAGCATTTGAATATGTTCCAAAATCAAATCCACATTTCAAAACGATTATGAAACTGTGGCTTGGGTATCTGTGCTATCTAATTTCATACCGATCAAAGCGATAAGATACTCGGGCATCTACGTTTCAAAATTTCAGACACAAATTATATCCGGATATCTGCACACGCGACGTTATATTGAAAGCCCGGTGTGGACGTACCCCGAAGGATAATTTGTGTCGTCGCATAAGCAACCCCTGCTACCCCCTCGCTTTTCAGGTCCTTGATAACGAGCAAAAAGCCGAAGCGCACGTAGTGGATTAGTCGGTCGTTAAAATAAATAGACGCTCGCGGCGCGAGTACGTACGAGGGAGAGAATTATGAGAGAGAGAAAGAGAGATATATGGGGAGAGAAGGGGTTCGACGTTCCTCATCAGCCGGAGAATTACCGTAGAGCGAGAACTCGAGGGTGCTTTCAGGAGCCCCCGGAAACCGGGAAAGCCGGTGCGCTGCGCGGCCCCGAGCATACGCCCGTAACGTGGCCGGCCGCGATCGATGTTCACCGGCTCTTTCCAGTTCGGCTTGCTCCTTCTCTAAGCCGCTATATGTTCTCTCTCGCTCTTTAAAGAGAGAGAGAGGGGGGGAGGTCAGAGAAAGATAGAAGTATCTTCGCGATAGGCTTTCGTCCTGGTGTGGCCTTGACACTGCACTGGAGCGACCCGATATATACTCCGGCAATTTAGAAACTGTCTTCCAAACACATAGAAGGGAAATAGTCGTATATATGAGATATTACTCTTTCGCTATTATTTCTTACAATTTAACAATGATGTAATTATATATTACATACATATATAATTATACAATTATATAATACACATGGAGAGGGGTAGCTTTCTGAGAGTACAACATGTAAAAATGTAGATGTATATTCTTTTAAATTAATTTTTTTAGGAATTTTTCACGAATTCTTCAAGAAGAAATGCATCCTAGAAACTACACCAATCACTATTCTATTCGTTCTCTCTTGCTCACTATTGATATTAAAGAGTAAAGGAGGTACGAGGTGTTGAGTATCGCAAGTACAACAGGAAGTTAATAACGACGTGTACCATTAGGAAGACTTCCGCAGGTAAATTGATTTTTAAATGGTGCACTGAGCGATATCAGGACGAACGTTTAGCGGCATAAAGCCTGGTGGCGCAGCCCAGACCAATCTAAGTCCGGCCACGTGTATATAATATTTTAAGGGATGTCCGACGAGCGAAGTTAACGCGGCAAGCTTCCCGAGAGTGAGTTTACTACTTCCGGCCTAACTTCGTCGGTTTAAACACATAGAGAAGAGCGAGAGAGAAAGGAAGAGAGAGAGAGAGAGAGAGAGAGAGAGAGAGAGAGAGAGAGAGAGAGAGATAGCTTTCCCTGGCTCGGCTAGGCTTCCTCGTCGTGTTTTATCGTTATTACAAGCTCCTTCGAAGTTTACGACTCTGTACAGCGGATAACGTTCTCCGCCCTTCCTCTCTGTTATTCTCGTCAACCCCCTCGTCGTTCGATCAACCTTTACACGAAGCGCTAGCCGTCGGAAATGACGCGTCCTGGTTGCACGACCACCCCGCCCGTTCCGTGGCACATCTCCCTTCGTAGAGGAATTTTGTTACGTCGCTTATGGAAAGTCGATGTCACCTTGAAAAGACATAAAAATCGTCGCTGCATCGACAAGCTATATTACAAGCTTTTCACATAAATAAACTTCGACGTCAAACATCTTGACAGTTAAATCTCGAGTTTGAATTCTGTTGGAACGTACTTAAAAATAAATGAGAAATAAAGATCGTTATCTATACACATTTTCCGAAACGTTCTCGACTCCAATATAAAAAATCGTAAAACACATCATAATGTTATCTTAAAAGAAAAAACATAATAATTCTTTTCGAATAATTATATATTGAAGAAAAAAAAATGCAAACGTCTATTGTAATGTAAAGCGACACAATTTGGTAAATTTTAACAAGAATAATAAAATAATTAACAAGAATAATAAAAGTATTACTTACATTACTATAACTAACAGTTATCGTAATGAAATTGATAATTAAAGCGGTTGAGATAAATTTTTCATAAAAATGTAATATCAAATATTGGATTTCACATCAAATCGTTTCACGATATATCTAAAATTATTCTTAAAATATTCGAGATCACCACTTTCCTCTCATAATGAAATTTCGCTGACTCGCGACACCGGCGCACCGTTTGCGCGTGAATACTCTTACCTGGAGTACCACTCCGTCGTATTATTTCGCTTTACGACATTTTAAATCGTCGCCAATATAACGGTGATATTACGAAATTGTGAGGCGATATTGCACGTCGTGACGTGCATGTATGCGCTCCTCAGAATATCACGTGTTCCACCAGCGATTGGATTTTCCTTCGCTCCCCCATCGCTCCTTCACTCCTCGTCGCTATTTCGGTAGCATTTCGCGGTTCCCTCGTTATCGTGGATGCCTAACGTTGTTTTACGACCGATAAAAGCATCCCTTGCTCGTCTGCTGGTAGCGTATCATTTTACCCGGAGCTGCGTGGCTGTTAGTTGCCTCATAATATCTACCAAGCGGATATGAAGAATCGGTCTTTGCAAATGAGATAATTCCTCTCTGGTTAATCATTCTCGCCATTTTGCAATTCATCGTGCAAGTCTTATGTAAGTCAGTGAGAATAAAACGACATGTACATCACGCGAGATATCACAATTATTTTGCGCAATATAAAACTTTAAATTTGCCATACTGTTAAGAAAATGCTGTAGAAAATAATAAAAGTTTACGTCAAAGGCTTTAAATACATATTTTCTAAATTATTCTTTTTGCTTTCCAATCATTATTTTGGTTTCGTGTCTCGTTTAAATAAAATGCGACACTAATTATATCGATATATAATATCTATATATAATCGTATTTTACTCTAATATTTTAGAGGCTTTATTACAGGACGGCCTGGCAGTCGCCGATTAGAGACGCACGACCGATCAATAGTTGTTCTTTCCACGTGTTACTGGGTTACTATCTCGCCTCGTGGCTATGCGATAACGTAATACGCTGAGAGCGTAGTCGTAGATGAGGCAAATGCTCATAAAACCGAGTTTTTAACGCGCTATTTAATCACGGTGCAATTAAAGCTCTATAATAAGATATTAAAATATATTTTCAGCTTGAAAATTAATTCTTCGAATTCAAGAAACGTGATCAATTAAAATTATAGTTGATTATGTTAGAGAAGCACACGATAGATTACCAATAAAATTGTATGTGCACAATGTTAATTAATATCGCGGCTTTTGATTGCAGTAAAGACAAGGAGCGGATAAGTACTCGTTCTTCTCTATATGTCGAAGCTTTCACAAATACGCGATGTCTCGCAAGCGTCGCGAGTTCGTACGAGTCTTGCATAGTAACGCGGAGGGTCAACCACGGTCGAAGATAAAGCCGTCAAAGAAGAAGGGGAAGAAGTGGGAGATTCTACCTGGAGACCCGTGTGACTCGCGCGATATCGATCCCACCGGCGACAGACCGTATCGCTATCGGCCACGTGGACACGTTGGTTGCACGACCGGAGAGATAAAAGGATTCCTTCGTAGCGCATGCGGAACTATGTGTGCGGAAAACTTTCACGTCGGTTTCCATTATATTTACTCGGAAAACACCGGTCGGCCGGACGGCCGGCAGACCGGTTGGTCGGCATCGCTGTGCGAGAGATACGCGGGGAAG